ACGGTAGAGTTAGAAACATACCAGGGGATTCCAATTCAATCCCATCAAGGTGGCATGTACCAATGCCATCTCACTAGTCCCAGTGATCAAATTCTGTTCACAATTGATCATAATGATAGGACTAAGAACCAAAGGGATCACATAAACAAGAATAGTGTCTGCAAATACTGGCTGATAGAATAAAAAAAGGAGAGAATGATTCAACATGGGAAGTGAGATACACAGCAGACCCATAGAATGGCAGATGTCCTAAACAGCACTCTGGCCTCAGAATCAGCTCTTAAGGCATGCGGATCCAGCTGAAAAGCCCATGAGAGTATTTCATGCATGGAAAGCAAGACACTCTGGGGAAAAAAAAAAAAAAAAAAAAAAAAAAACTAAATGAAAGATCTCCGTGAGTGAGATTCCAGTGGAAAGAACGGGTCATCAAAGAAGGAGGTACCCTTCTCTGAAGGGAGGAGAGAACTTCCACTTTGACCATGGCCTTGTCTAAATATGATCAGAGTCAGTGAACTCTGGGGGCTTCCATAGACTTGGCAGCTCATGACAAGAGCCTAGGGTGATTACTGAGGCCAAAACAAGAGTGTCAATTTGTTAAGTCAACAACAGGAGTCACTGTGCACTTACTCCTCATGTAGGATCTCTGTCCTTAGTGTGCTGTACATTGAGATTTAATGCTATAACTAGTACTCAAACAGTATTTTTCACTTTATGTTTCTGTGTGGGAGCAAACTGTTGAAATCTTTACTTAATGTATGCTAAACTGATCTTCTGTATGTAAAGAGAATCGAAAATGAATCTTGATGTGAATGGAAGGGGAGAGGGAGCGGGAAAGGGGAGGGTTGCGTGTGGGAGGGACGTTATGGGGGGGGGAAGCCATTGTAACCCATAAGCTGTACTTTGGAAATTTATATTCATTAAATAAAAGTTAAAAAAAATCTAACAACAACAAAAAAGTAACATAAACTCTGGCATCAGTCTTCCCAAGTTCATCTGTTCATAGCTCTTCCCCTTGGATGTTTCTCAACATCGGCACATGTCAGTTTGCTTATCTATAAAATGGCACTGTCATGCTCAACTATTAGGTTTAAGGAATAGAACTTGAAGGAGAGGATAGATGTCTTATTAGCGTTCCCATCTTGGAAGGGGTTTCAGATTGCCTTTGTCTAAAGGAACTGACCAACAAGTCATCTACAAAAAGACTGTTTTTAAAATAAGACATAAAATAAGCCGGCGCCGTGGCTCAATAGGCTAATCCTCCACCTTGCGGCGCCGGCACACCGGGTTCTAGTCCCGGTTGGGGCGCCGGATTCTGTCCCGGTTGCCCCTCTTCCAGGCCAGCTCTCTGCTATGGCCAGGGAGTGCAGTGGAGGATGGCCCAGGTGCTTGGGCCCTGCACCCCATGGGAGACCAGGAAAAAGCACCTGGCTCCTGGCTCCTGCCAGGATCAGCGCGGTGCGCCGGCTGCAGCGGCGGCCATTGGAGGGTGAACCAACGGCAAAGGAAGACCTTTCTCTCTCTGTCTCTCTCTCTCACTGTCCACTCTGCCTGTCATGATACAAGAACTAATGATAAAAAATTTTGACACTAGATAAGACATAAAATATAAGCATTTGCAAAGCAGAATCCCAATTAACAAAAATTTGTGTACTTTTTAACCAGACTTGATTTGTTTGTTTCTATTATCCATGAAACATCGTAACTGCCAAGAAACTCTTTTTCTGCTTTTTGTTTACTTTTCTATTTATATAAAAGGAACAAATTTCATGTATTTCATATAAGGTTTTAAGAGCATAATGATACTTTCCACCCTATCCTCCCCCCCCACTCCCTCCTTCCCTCTTCCTTCTTATTTTCCTTTTAATTTTTATAATGACATATTTTCAATTTTTTTTAATTTTTTATTTATTTATTTATTTTTTTGACAGGCAGAGTGGACAGTGAGAGAGAGAGACAGAGAGAAAGGTCTTCCTTTGCCGTTGGTTCACCCTCCAATGGCCGCCGCGGCCGGCGCGCTGCGGCCGGCGCACCACGCTGATCCGATGGCAGGAGCCAGGAGCCAGGTGCTTTTCCTGGTCTCCCATGGGGTGCAGGGCCCAAGCACCTGGGCCATCCTCCACTGCACTCCCTGGCCACAGCAGAGAGCTGGCCTGGAGAGGGGCAACAGGGACAGAATCCGGCGCCCCGACTGGGACTAGAACCCGGTGTGCCGGCGCCGCAAGGTGGAGGATTAGCCTAGTGAGCCGCGGCGCCGGCCCATATTTTCAATTTATAATCAAGCTTAATCCTCCACTAAATAAAGAGTTCAACAAGTAGTGAGTAGAAAAACCACTGTTCCTCAAGAGTATAAAAGACGAGGGCTATAAACAATAATCAGAGCTTAAAATGTCAATTTCACTCATACAAATTACTTTTTTTGCACTCTGTATATTAGTTACCACAAATCAGGGAAAACATTGTCTTTTTCAGACTGGCTCATTTCACTAAGCATAATGATTGTACTACTCAGCCACAAAAGAATGAAACCCTGTCTTTCTATTCAAGCATTCATGACATGTAATTTTCTCCCTAGTGGCAGATACATGGAAAGAATGGAACTACAATTAAAAATTGGTGGAAAGAAAGGTGTTTCAGTAATGTCGCTTTCAATTCTCAGGCAGTATTTTAGAGTCCCATTAGGCAAAATGTCCCGTTAGGCTTCTACTGAGGTTCTCTGCCACAGCTAAGGTTACGGCTGACATTAAGAGCTGTGGTTGCTGCATGCGGCATTCTGGTACCCTATGTACTTTAAGACTGAGGGAAAGGAACCAAGGAAGGAAAGAAGAGATTTAACCACCTCTTCCAAACCCAGAGAGACAAACTCTTAACATCGTAAGGGGTTGGGATCACCCATCCTGGCTTCCTGCCTTATAGTGTGTACAACTAAGGAGCTCTCCTGTATCCATGTTTCACATAGTTAATATCAAAATGATTCCATGAAATATGGATTTTTTTTAAATCTGTTTTTTTTCGATGACATAGAGAACCAGTATTGCCAAAGTAACCATAATTCAAATCTAATTGTCTCATTCAAACTTACATACTTCTCCCTCACATGCTCATATACATGCCCTCAGCAGGGTCCTGATGGTAGTCCATTTTTGGGTGGGATAGCCTAGTGACCAAGAAGATGAGCTCCAGTACCAAATGTCTGGGTTCAAGGCCATACAATTAAAGCTAAAAACTCCTATACATGGTTCTTTCATATTTCTTCACTTCATGTTCCCAGTTTTCAAATATGGGGTATATCTACCCCATGGAGAATGTTATGGCAATTAAATAGTTGAAAAGTGTGTAGATAATTGCCAAAGAAGAGTCTGGCTCTACTATACATTTAGGATTGGTCTCAGCTGTCATCTCTGTGGCTCTGGCCAGTTTAAAGTGTGCTGGCACAAAGATCTTCATTGTGTGTCCTCAACCTTTATTCTGCTGGGCTCTCTAATTACATTTCTAGTACACACACACACACACACACACACTCCAAAATGCAAAATATTGTAATTTGAACTATGATTCCTTATGTTCTGGTATAATAGTGACTTTGATAGTGAATTATTAATGTAAGGAGAGAGCAAATCCAAATCTATGAACACACTCTTAAGGCACTGCCTCAGACTTGGTACCATGTCTGGTTTTAAAACATTGCACACAGACTCAGGTCTCATTTTTGTCACTAACTTACTGAATAAACTTCCCCTCTGAGCTTTCGTGTTCTTGTTCATAAAAATATGTTAATATCTATCTTATAGGTTTACGAGGATTAAAAGTATAAAGCATTTAAAATAGTCCTTGCACTCACTAAAGGTATGGCAACTTGTTATAATTATCTGAGCTTATCGTCTCATTTTTCTGGAAAGCTTGCAATATAATGGTTCTAATTCTTTCAAAACACCTTTTTAACACCACAAACTCTAAATTCTTTGTCAGATATAGTAACCAATTTTGTTTATTTCATAAGACTTTAAAAAGCACGTCTATATACCTAATTGTCCACAAAGGGAATCAGTTTACAAGTGTTATGACATCAATGATTTTTACCTGTGGCTTTATTCCTTTATACCTTGTGTTTGTAGAATGAGATATCCTGACTTTCTCAAATGTGTTTCTTGTTTCAGTTTGAGTGTCTCTGTGTGTGTATTTAATATGTAAAATGCTTTTGGGTTCTGATATTTTAATTCCTTTTCTTTTTACAAACAGGACAAACTTCTTTGAAAGTTTGAAAAGTTGCTAAATCATAGTATATGTGTTAATAGCTTTCACATATTGAGCATATGTGGTAGGCACTGCACTAGGTGCTTGGCAGCTCTAACCTTTTACTTTTCCCAATATAACATAACTTATCCCAAAATTCTACTGTTATTGATATTTTACAAATGAGGAAATTGACTTAGAAAAAGAACTTGTTAGGGGTAGTACTGGGATTTGAATATGAGTCTGTCTTGACTTCAGAGCCTGCTCTCAAGTTAGACAGTAACCTTCCACCTGTTTAAAGAATCAGAGAGATATATGCTCAATAGGCCTATTTGTGCAGATGCATTTCTGGATAATATTATAGACTAATTTGGGACAAGCGACAGCTTTCCCTATTGGGTTACCAGAAAGCACTTTTCTCTACAGAAAAATAAGCCAATTTGTTACTCACTATAGAATTTACTTTAAAAATACACCCAAGACAACACCCTCCACTCTGATGGCTTCATCTTTGTTGAGCTTAAAACCTGAATGTTCAAAACAGAAAAGAGAAACAAAATAGCAGAAGCCCTGACCCAAATGTTACATGTCTGTTGTTAGCACCTCTTTCCGCCCCAGGACAGACTTTCCCTCTGGGACTCACTGACTCTCCAGTCTTTGACATTCTCGTTCTAACTGGAGCAGCACTTGCCATGCACACAGTGTTCCCAGAGTTGGTCAGGGCTCAACAGTGATCCTGGTTTAAGGAGTGGGAGGATGCATTCACTTACTGAGAGGGCAAGGGACGTTTGATCCTGGCAGCAGCCACCTGTGCTCCATCCTCGGGCCTCTCCTCGGTCTCCCCTCCATAGCCACTGTCCTCCGTGTCTACACTGTCGCTCTTCCACATGGGCACCTCCTTTTCCATCTCTTTCCAGCCTTTGGTCAGCTCAGACACCAGGTTGGCACATTTTCTCCTCCGAGTCGGGGAGTCATGGCTGTGGAGGATTCTGTCAATGTCGTTCTCTGGATGGTCGGGCTCAGGCGTGCTGCTGTCTTTCTCATACCTGTGGCTGAGGTCGCTCATGTCCCCTCCTCTCTCATACGCCTTGCTCACAATTGTCTTGGTCACCTCTTTCCTTTTGATGTGGGAGATCTCGGTGGCTTCCTCGGGGCTTTGTTCATCTCCATGTCCCTCTGGCTTTAGGGAAGGAAACTTAGGGAAAGTGGGACAAGTCACTGGTTTAGGAGCTTGGGATTGGTCCTGGGTCCCTCCAGGAAGCCAGCCTGCCGGTTCCTGGGCTTGCCTTGTGCTGTTCTCGTTTGCCCACTGCTGCCAGCCTCGGGCCAGGTTGATAACCAGAGTGGCAATGCGCACCTTCCGGAGGGCGCTTTTGGCTGGCCCCTCCTCCCTTTCCTTCTCTCCCGGAGCCATGCTTTCCCTTTCTTCTCTGCTGATAGCTTGGGCACTGGCTAAAATGAGCGTGGCCCAGTGGAGTGCCTGGGATTTAAATAGCAGCAGGGCGTGGGGTGTGAAGGAGGGCTTGGGGACGGTGGAAACTATGTGAAGCATTTCTTGCCAAGATGTGGTGCCTTTGCCCTGATGGTATTCTTTTTTTAAACTCTGACAGCTCCAGTTCATCACAGCAGGGACATCTCTGCTGGTAAAGGACAGTGATCTGCTCATTCCCTTCCTTAGTGCCACTGTAGAAATTACTAGATCGAATCATGAGCTCAGCCTTGTGTTTTTCTTGACCTGGAAATGTGGTCCTATGATTTATGGGAGGATGCTGTGTGTGCACAAGTTGTGCTGGGAACACTAGAGGCTTGTTCTCATCTAAGCCTCAACAGCCCTTCATTGGTCCTTGAATATTTTTATAGCCTCAATAAAATGAAAGCTAAGATCTGAGAGTCAAAGCCAGATCTGATTCAAAGCTTGTGTATCCTTCCAATATAATTATCAAAAATTCTAAGGTACCTTTTTCTTTTGCCTTCAACTCCACTAGAAATAGACCTTAGAAGATCATCTTGTCCAATCCTCATTTTCTAGATGAGGAAACTGAAGCCTGACAATGGGGAGACCAAGCACAGAGTTAGACTCTGGTTTTTTTGTCCTTTATTTGAATTACTGTGTAGACAAGTCCTACTCATACATGAGTACAAGACAGTATTCAAAAAATTTGTCCAGTCATTTTAAAAAAAACCCTGCACACACTTTGAATTTTAGAATTGCTACTGGAATAAATCTTTTCAAATATTTTGTTTAAAAGGATCATTTAAAATGAAAGTAAAGAATACTATCAGAAGTTTATTCCCAGACCCTTCCTTTGTTTTGCTTAACAAAACAAACTTCCTTAGCAGGCTTTTAGTTTCATGTAGGCAAACACAATTTTTCAGTCCTCAGAACAAAGAATGAAGTATGGCAGTTTTTAAAGGACTGGCATGATAGTCATATGGGCAGAAAGAGAGCCATCTATGCAATGTATTAAACCAGATTCAAATGCTCAGGGCTCAGCAATGACTAATTTCTTAAAGTAAGACATACAGAGGGCCCGCTGCCGGGACAGTAGGTTAATCCTCCGCTTTCGGTGCTGGCATCCCATATGGGCTCCAGTTCACAACCCTGCTGCTCCTCTTCCAATCCAGCTCTCTGCTGTGGCCTGGGAAAGCAGTAGAAGATGGCCCAAGCACCTGGGCCCCTGCACATCCCCTTGGGAGACCTGGAAGAAGCTTCTGGCTCCTGCCTTCAGATAATTGAGGCCAGCAGATGGGAGACATTTCTCTCTGTCTCTTCCTCTCACTGTCTGTAGCTCTACCTCTCAAATAAATAAAATTCTTTATTTTTTTTAAAAAAGACATTTAGGAGAATTTTTTTCATTCAACAGTTCTGAAGGCTTTGAAACTATTTCGTTTCTTCCAATCTTGACATGTAGTTAACTATACTGACTGAAAACAACTGTCTAAGAGCATTAAAAGGTATGAAAGTTAACTACTTACAATGGTAAGACACATTTATTTTGAAAAAGAAATGTTAGTTTTTGGTTGTGATGTTGATTTACCTCCTAGGATTAAAACAATTTGAGAAAGTACTTAATACTGTATCTACAAATCTGTCAGATATATCTTGAGAGTCCACAGTATCTGATAATGTTACTTGAAGGCCAAACACAGTAAGACAAAGCCCCTTGTAACTAAGAGGAAACTGGACCACAAGAAAACTATTACAAAAATTTAAATCTGAGTCTGAAATTTCTGGCATTTCTTCCTAGAGTGTAGATATACTGCAGGCTGTTTAGTTCTTGTCAGCTGTCCTTTCTCACATGTGAAAGGCATAGGGAAGAAATTGGATTCCACTGAGTTCCCCATAAGCTTAGCCCAGGATCAGGCTAATTCTCAGCTCTGGAAGGGACTTAACTGTGTCTCCACACACAGCTGCTCCAGGTTCAGTCCTGAGAGAAGGAGGAGAAGTGGAGACAGCAAAACATGGAGTCTTTCTCCTATAATAGGCGTTGCAGTCAGAAGCCTGGGGTTGGGGGCTGTCAGCAGATGAATTTTGGCAAAAAGCAGAAGCACCTCCAAAAAGAATCTGGTCGTGCCTTCTAAGATTTAGCCTCCATTGCAACTTCAGTCTTTCGTTTATACTTCTACAGAACAGATTGCAAACATCCTTTTCTGCCTCATGTCCGCTTCAAAAATTCCTTTCCTGAAACAAGGTCTGTATCTTTTGTTTCTTATACAGTTGTTAGATTATCTTTCACAATGTAGGCCCCGATTCTTAGGAGTACCATATTTTTCTACTGTAATATAAAATATAAATGAAATGGAAATGAAATCTCAGAAACATATTGAAATAAGAAGTGGTTTCCAAGGGGAGTTCCTCAAACTGCAAGCTTTGAAACTGTAGGTGAAGATGCAGACCTGATTAATCAGGTACTTATCACCCAAGAAATTTCTCATGGGTATTTTTTGAAAAATATTTTAGTCACTTGATCATGTGATCAGTATTATGAAGGGAGGGAGGTGTATTTACATACTTCTCTGCATGATAGAAATCAGATAGTGTCAACCCTCAGAGCCAGCTATATAATCTTACTAAAAAGACCCTAAACCTATATTTGCTCAAAGCTCTTACAAAATATTTTCTAGAAATAAACTATGTGTATTTGTGTTTTAAAAAATGAAGTTTAGGGGATACAGATAGCAAAAGGGTTACAATAGTGAAAAAAACTGTCATCTAACACAGTTGCTTTTTTAAAAATAAGAGCCACTCAATTCCATTTATAAAACAAAAATTCCTAACAAAATTTGTTATGTATTTGATCTCTGGACTTGTTTATCCTGCATACCCACCCTTTATATTCTTTGACCTACATCTCCCCATTCCATCTCCCCACTCCACCCCATCCCCCAGCCTGTCCCTCTCCCCTATTCTCTGAATATGTTGCCTCTTTTAAAAATTTCACTTAGCATCATGTCTTCCAGGTGCATCCATGTTGTGTCAAAGGCAGGATCTCATTCTTTTATAAAGGGTGAATAGTATTCACATAATGGATAACACATTTTCTTTATCCATTCTTCTCTCAATAGACACTTAGATAGTTTCTGTATCTTGGTTATTGTGAATAATGCTGCAGTGAGCATGGGAGCGTTCGTCCCTTTGGGCACATACGTTGACGAGGGATTGCCAGGTCATATGGTGGTTTTATTTTTAATTTCTTGAGGAACTTGCACACTGGTTTCCACAATGGCTGACTAATCTACATTCCGACCTACAGGATAAAAGGGTTTCCTTTCCCTGTGTCCTCACCATCATCTGTTGTCACTCATCTCTTTGACAATAGTCTCCCTGAAAGGTAGAAGGTAACTTTCACAGTGGTTATAATGAACGCTTCCTGGATTAGTGATGGTGAGCGCCTTTGAATATTCATGTTGGCCACTTGTATTTCTTTGAAGAAATGTCTGTTCAGGCTCTATACCCATTTTTAAAGTTTGTTGTTTCCCTGCTAGTGAGCTGTGAGACTTCACAAATTCTGTATACCAACTCCTTATTATAAATGTGGCTTGCAAATATCTTTCTCAGACTACCTGTTCCCTTTTCATTTTGTTGATTGTTTCTTTTGCCATGTGGGAGCTTTTTGGCTTGATGGAGTCCTAGTTATTTTTCCTTCTTGAGACTGAACTTTTGGTGTCATATCAAAAGAAAAAAAAAAAAAAAACTTGCCAAGGCCAATGCCAAGAACTTTCTCCTATCCTCTCTTCTAGCAGTTTTGTGGTTTCATGTCTTAAAGTTAAGTCTCCTATCCATTTTGAGTTGATTTTTGTGTATAATGTAAGAGGCCAATTTCATTCTCTAGTATGTGGAAGTCTGTTTTACCCAGAACCATCTATTGAAGAACTACCTTTCTACATTGTGTTTCTTGAAAATTAGTTAATTTTTAGGTATATATTTGGATTTATTTCTGGATTTGCTATTCTTTTCATTGGTCAGTGTTTCAGCTTTCATGTTAAGTACCATACTGTTTTGATGAATTTGGCTTGGTGGTGTACTTTTAAATTAGGAAATGTGATGCTTCCAGTTTTGTCTCTCTTCCACAGTATTGCATTGGTTTTTATTTGTTGTTGTTGTTATTATTGTTGTGGTGGTAGTTTCATATAAATTTTAAGATTACTTTTTCTGTTTCGGTGGAGAAGGCCGATGGAATTTTGATGGGGATCAAATCGAATCTGTATATTGTTTTAGTTGGTATTGACATTTTTAGCAATATTGATTTTTCATCTTAGTGAATATGTGGATTCTTTTACTTGTGTCCTCTTCAATTTCTTTCATCATTGTTTTACAGCCTTTTTGAAAAGATTTATTTATTTATTTAGAAAGAGACAGATTGCTATTTCATCCACTGTTTCACTCCCCAGATGTCCGCAACAGGCAGTGCTGAAAGAGACAAGCTTCATCCAGGACTCCCATGTGGGTGGCAGGAACACAAACATTTGAGCCATTTTCCTCTGCTTTCCCAAGGCCATTGGCAGGGAGCTGATATGAAGTAGAGCAGCTGGGAGACAAACCAGTGCTCATATGGGATGTTGGCATTGCAGACGGCAGCTTTACCAGCTACAGCACAAAGCTGGCCCCCATTTTATGGTTTTTAGTGTACACATTTTTCAACTCCCTGCTTAATTGCATTTATAAGTATTTGATTTTTTTTAATGTTATTATAAATGGGATTTTCCCCCTTAAGTTTTTTTTTTAGTTAGGATTGTTATTTGTATGTAAAATTGCTACTGGGTTTTTAATGCTGGTTGTATTCTACAACCTTACTGAATTTACTTATTAGTTCCCATAGTTTGTAGGTATATGTGTAATATTTGGCATTTTCTATATATAAGATCATCTTAAAACACACACTTTTACTTCTTCCTTTGGGATTGGATGCCTTTTGTTTTTCTTATATGTTTATCCTTGCTAATACTAGCAGTCCTACTTGGGTGGAACTG